AAAGGTAGGGGTAGACCTAAAAAGTCTTGGTTAGTAAATATTAGGAATGACCTTTCTTTATTAGGTTTAAATGAGAATTTGACTTTTAATAGAACACAATGGAGAAAAAGGATTCATGTAGCCGACCCCACGTAGTGGGATAAAGGCTTGATGTTGTTGTTGTTGTTGTTGTTGTGTTTTTAGATCTGCTCATTCCACTTCCCTCTTAGCTGGTATATTTTTTCTTCTTTCATATGGCTCTACTGTTGCATGCCTATTTCTTCTGATTTCCTTCCTTTCATGGTTGTCCAGTTTCAGCAAAGTGTCCTCATGTATGCCTCTTTACAGTTTAGTGAAAATCCTCTAAAGGTTCATCTCTAGAGCCTTGTTATTTTGGAAATTTGGCTTATATGACAGTTTCTCATCCTCAATGTTTGGTTAGAAATAGCTACAACAATAGTGTGGTATTATTTTTTGTAATGGTCTTTGGAATTTCTGAAAATTTTTTGTAGAGTTATCAAGAAACGATAGTATTGCTTGAATGTGGTTTATTTTGCCTTTTCATTTCATTTTTTACTCAGCAGCCTGTCATCTGATTGTAGCTACAATTTTGTACATTGAAAATTTTTAACTGAATTTAATATGAAGGTTTTTAATTTTGATGTATGAATACTTGGTTATTGTGTCCCATGGTTTATAGCTTGTAGATTGAATGGTACATGTTCTTGCTCACTTGTTTTTTCCCATGTTCTATAGCTTTTAGATTGAATGGTATATTTGCTGTACTTGGTTAAATTTCTCTCTCTATATATGCACTTTTGCTCACTTCTTTTCTCTCTAATTGTTGCAAGGTGTGGGGGATGGGGGCTTAAAAATGTTTAGATATATAGAATATGTACTTCACAAATGCTTCTTAATAGGGCCAAAATTGAACTTGAAGCTTGCTATTTTAACATTTCCTTTTTATATCAATATTCAGATTGTAGTAGTAGTAGTAATACATAAGGTACACTAATGGTTTACAGAATCATTTTGTTCCTTTTTATATGCATGATGCTAAATTACATGCTTTCTTGGGCAATGCATTGTCCCTGCAGAAACCTAAGGGAGTTGGACCTGCTGGAGAATGATTTTGAAGATAATTGTAGCCATTGGCTGAGTCATTTCCCAGAATCTTGTACCTCGTTGATATCACTTAACATTGCAAGCCTTGATGGGGAGATGAATTATTCTATCCTCGAGCGGCTTGTGAGCAGATGCTCTAAGCTCAAAACACTCAAGCTCAACCACTCTGTGCCTCTTGATCGGCTTGCTGGCATTCTCTGTAAGGCCCCACAATTGATTGACCTGGGAACTGGCAGGTTTTCAGCAGACTCTCGTCCAGAGCTTTTTGAAAGACTTGAATCATCATTTACAGGATTTACAGGTCTCAAAAGCTTATCTGGTCTTTATGATGCTGTTCCTGCATATCTTCCAACTATCTACTCAGTGTGTGATGGACTTAGCTCACTAAATTTGAGCTATGCTACCTTGCAAAGTGCTGAACTTACAAAGCTAATTACCCGGTGTAAAAATCTCAAGCGCTTATGGGTATGAATTTAGTTTTTATTCCGTCATTTCCTGTCACCAACTTAGTGGTATTATTCAACTTTCAAGCATAGGTTGAACCTACTGAGAGTTATGCATTTCTCTTCATCGGCTTGCTTTTCTCATCACAGTATGAAACTAGGGTGAAAAATTATTGACTTTGCTTATTTCTGATTGTGCTTGAACAGTTTACGGACTGTTTATTTGAACTTAGTGGCATTTCCTGTCACTTTTTATTTTGGTTTTTAAAAAATATTTTTGTTTATGTTTTAGCTGTTTTTCTGTTTTTTTTTTATAATTAATTAAATTATCTTTAGAAATACTCAAAACAACATAAAACGACGGCCTTCTAATGATAAAAGACACATTTGCCCCTTGGGCTTACATAAGACAAGAGGGTAAAAAAGGAAAATTGTAAAATTAAATCAAAATACACTTAATAAACTAAAATAAAACAAAGTGATCTCGGTCGTCGATCTTCAGTTCCTCGGATAGGCATGGACGGTTGGATGTCCGCATCAAATGATCTTTCTTTATTAGATAGAAATGAGAATTTGACGCTTAATCGGACATAATGGAGAAAAAGGATTCATGTAGCCAACCCCACATAGTGAGATAAAGGCTTGATGTTATTCTTGTTGTTGTTGTTGTTTGAAATTGAAAACCACTCTGGCCACCACATGCCACTATTGGCTACCCTTCGCCGCCACCGCTTGCCTTCACCACCTTATTTAATATTTAATAAAAACAAAAACAATACTTATTTAGGATATTAAATATGTTATTATCTCATAACAAGACAAATAAAACAAAACAACGTAAAAGGTAATCCTATTTAGGCACTTAATATTTACTGATTCCTGGTTTTTGGCGCGATATTTACATCATTTTGGTGTATTTTTCAGGTTATGGACTTGATTGAGGATGTTGGCCTTGAAGCAGTTGCATCATCTTGCAAGCACATTGAAGAGCTTCGTGTTTTCCCTTTCGATCCATATGATGCAGAACCTGTATCTCTCACAGAGCGTGGGCTTGTCAGCGTGTCAGCTGGTTGTCCAATGCTTCGCTCCGTGCTCTACTTTTGCCGGCAAATGACAAATGCGGCGCTCATCACCGTTGCAATGAACAGCCCCAGTTTGACATGTTTTCGACTTTGCATCCTAGAGCCACGAACCCCCGATTATCTCACACAACAGCCACTAGATATCGGCTTCAGCGCCATTGTTCAATCATGCAAGGAGCTCCGTCGTCTCTCCCTCTCTGGCCGCCTTACCGACCGCGTGTTCCATAGCATTGGAGCATATGCAAATCAGGTTAAAATGCTGTCAGTTGCCTTTGCTGGAGACAGTGACGCTGGCCTTCATTATATTCTATCAGGTTGCAGGAGTCTTAAAAAACTGGAGATCAGGGATTGTCCTTTTGGGGATAAGGCTCTTCTCGCCAATGCTGCGAAACTGGAGACAATGCGATCCCTTTGGATGTCGTCGTGCTCCATAAGCTTTGGGGCTTGCAGATTACTGGCACAGAGAATGCCAAGGCTAAATGTAGAGGTTATCGATGAGAGGCAGGAAGGATCACTAGAATCTAGGCCTAATGACTGCCCAGTTGAGAAGCTCTACATATACAGGACAGTTGCTGGTCCTAGATCTGACATGCCGGCTTGTGTTTGGACGGTATAGAGGTATTTATATCTTTCTTAGCCCCTTGTTCTTTTTCTCCATGAATCTGATAAAGGTTGATTATGAATCTATGATATGGAGAATCCGTTTCTTCTGTTTTTCCAGGTATAATTTTGTGTAGGATGAAAGAATAGAGCCTCAGTTCTAAAGCCTTGTTGTCAAATTAAATAAATAGAATGTATTAACTTATAGTGATCTTGTATTATTGTTTAGTGAGGAGCTCTTAATGGATTTGCTGGTCGGCCCTAGTTTAATGTAAATGAGTGTTTCTTTTTTTTTTTCATTTCTTTAGGTAGTTCATTTGCCAAACCTTGTATTTTACTTCATAGTTTTGCATCATCCAAGAAATTTCATATTTATTCTATTGTTGGATTTATCTGCTTCTTGCTTCTGCTAATAATCACTGTCAGCTGTGGATAGATTTTCTTCATTGGTGCTTTTGTGATGCTATTATTCTTTCAACTTATTGTGGTAAATAACTTCTGACATTGACAGGATCAAACTAAGGGAAATATATGACACCCTAGGTTTATGATTCGTTGCTGTTACCTTGTAGGAACTGAATTTCTTGTTCTTGCTAATAAAAGGTTTACCATTTATTGAAGGGTTTGCTTTCTCTCTTTTGCTTTTGGTCTTTTCTGCATCCATTATCTATGTTGGATTAATCGGACTTAGCTCGGTTGGTGAACGAACACGGTTGGGTACTCCTCCCAACTCACGTTTGATTCCCCTCGAGCAGTAGCCCCTCTTAAGTGGGGCCCATGAAGTGTGGGCCAGGAGGTGGTGGGTGCCTCTTCTAGGTCAGCCGAGGATTAGTCTCTCCGCTAAGCACCTCTTCGGCGGTAGAAATGGGTGGATACCCCGTTCCCAAATAAATAAATAAATAAAATCTATCTGATGATATAGGACATTTGGTGTTGCCTCTTTAGGAAAAGTTCCTTGAGATATTGCAACCGGGATTCATTTTTCATTGTGTTTTACTTTGTTTATGTTGCAAAATAGTAAATACAATGCAGGGTGGATGGTAGAGCCGCATGGTTTAGGACAAGGAATGTATGCATTATTCTTAACCTACTCTGAGCATAAGCATCTTAGGTGCGTTTGGGACAACGTTTTGCATAATTTTTATAAATCATTGTCATAATTTTTTAATATAGTTTTCTTAATATATTTTAGAAATTTTTGTGATTAAATTTGCTACCATCATATTTGTTATAGTATGATTGTTGTATGAAAATTTTAGATTGTCATTCTATTGTTTAGAGACAAGCGTATAACCCACAATAGCTTACTAAGTCTTTGTTTGGGATAGCTTTCTTATTGCTTTATGAAGCAATTTTTTAGTACAAAAATTTTTATACTAAAAAGCTACTTTAGAAAGTAATAAGAAACCCGTCTCAAATGAAGCCTAAAACTTTATTTTTTCACATTATTCTAAGACTAATTTTGCCGATGATATCAGCTGTCATTGCTAAGTTGCTGAATTTCATTTATAACTTTAATCTAATAAATAAAGTGGAGGTCTAAATGAATGATTATGCTATCTCTAATTCATTTTCATTTAGAGTTCATGATTCTGAATTATGAAAATAGCTTTGTTGCATTGTAAAGATGGTAAAGTGCAGTGCTTTATGAGAATTTACAGTTTTAGTTTTGAAATTTTGTTTCAACTAGCTATAATTGGTTAAGGCTATCTTTGTAATTTGTGAGTTTATTCAAGTTCTTAAGCATAAAAAGCTAAGTGAGATTATAGTAATAGTTATATCAGTGACTGAGATTGGAAGCTTCAGTGTTTGCAATTAAAAGACTCAAAAGCCATATCTGTTTTCTTAAAGCTTTTTACATCAATTTTTTACACAGACTGCTTTAGGCTGTGTAATGACCAAATTATGCTCAATGGATACTTTCAAAGAACCTTTAAATGATATTATTTAGGATAAAATTATCTTTTGTAGAGCCTCATTATAAGTTACTTTTAAAAGTTCAAATCACATATTTGATTAATTTATTTATGATCTAAATTTATTTAAGAAATGAAGATATGTATGCCAATAGTTTTTATTTTGCATTAAAATATAATCATACAAATTTCTTTAACCCATAGTCCTAATTCATGTCTCTCTCTATCTCTAATATTGATCTTTTTACACATTATTATTTTAAGATTTTTTTTTTAATTACAACTATATTTATATATAATATTTCTTTATAAATTTTTAATTAGGTGATACCAACCAATTTAAAAGGAGTTGCACTATAATGATGTACTTGATTGTTGGAGAATAATATTATGGCTTTTGAGTGTTCTATAATCAACTCATCATTTAATTCAATATCTTTGTGAAAATCTCATAAAACTTGGGCTTCGTTTGTTTTTTTAAATCTTTTCATTGTTAAAATAATAAATAATAATAGATAAAATTACAATATTTTTTTTCATAATAATTTTACTCACAATGATAAATCTTTATGGATTCATATTATCCATTTAGTCCACTTTTAAACATAACAATCATATTAAGTTAATTTGAAATAATAGAAAGATACATGTGATTAAATACTTACTTCAAAAATGATTATAAATGTATTGCATCCAAAATAAAACAAGAGATAGATGATTGAAACCCTCAAATGTATAGCATCCAAAATAAAATAAAATAAAAATATTGCGTTCTCTCATACAATTCTTATATTTTTCTTCATTTCTTCTTCTTTATATCCCTAAGAACAACCCAACAAATTTTGGTATCAAAGCTCTCTTTTTTGGCATTTTGTCACCCCAAATATCTTCTTGTTATACAAAATCAAAATTTCTCTTCCAAGAAAGAAAAAAAAAATCCAAGATGATGGCAGAAATTCAAGAGCAAATTCAACCACTTCTGCTGCAATTGTTAGCAACACCACCTCAACCATGCACAAAATTTTGTGCCAATCCTTAATGGTGAAACTAAAACTTATGGTATATCCAAATACTCATCCTCTTTATGCAACAACACTCGCGGGACACGGTTAAAAATAAAACCTAAAAAGTTAAGAAAAGCTTAAGCAGCTTTGGTTTTGTTTGGGATGGCTTTCTCAATGTTTCTTAAAGCAACATTTTAGTACAAAAATTTTAATTCTTTCATTAAAAAACTGCTTTAAAAAACAGTCAGAAAGCCATTCCAAATGAAACTTCAACTACAAGCAAAGCACGACTACATAGACAAGATAAAGAAGCGTGCTAAGTAAATTTTTATTCATCCAATAGTAAGGCATGAGAAAAATAAAAAACAAGAATTATGCACTCAACTAAATCAAAGATATATAAGAAACTCCTTATATTAGTTTCAGGTATCAGAAAAAATTATACTTCTCTTCAATATTTTGTTTGCAAAAAGCAAAGACATGAATATATAAAAAACTGTAGAAAAATGTGCTTGAATTGTAAAATTGGAATCAGCTCAAAAAGAGGCTTTTGGAACGAAAAAGTGACAATTGAGACAAATTTGACGAGGAAGAACTCTACTGAACTATTTTATGCCTGCAAGAACACAAAGAGAATCGCAAGAAAAATATTATGAAAATAGACAAAAAGCTCCTCGCCAAGCTTGATTAAAAGCCTTACCTTTTTCATGTCATGCTTGATGATGATAAGATACATAAAATCAAAAGCAAATGAGGTATAAAAAGATTTATTCATTGCATCTCTTTGTGCAAAATGAAGTCAAAATTTGTTAAGTAATATAATCAATTGCTTGACTTCAATGACAAGGCATGCAAAATCTATAACAAAGATTACAATTACTATGCCAATCAATCGAATATATAACACTTGAAATATAATCATCTTTTACTTGTTGAAAGACAAGAATATGACTGCTGGGCTTCCACACAGTAAAAAGAAGAATCAAATCTATGAAGTTTGGATCTATGGCAATCTACATTTAACTTATTTTCTCGATGACAACATAGAGAGCAAAGCTCCACTTACATTTGTATATGTCTATATTTTTTGTCTATCAAGGACACCTCAATTAATCAAACGAGGCACTTTCTAAGATTTAGAATGACTATAATAGGATGAAATGTGCTTTCTTTTTTGAAGTAAATGTCAAAAGCCTTCACCTTTCTTAATTCAAAGTTTTTTTAGAAACTAAATGACAATTAAATAAATACTTTTCAGAAGTAATTGAGGTGGCAAGTTCGTCTCAACTCCATTGAAGAATTATTACAAAGAACTAGGCATAAGAAAACTTATTACACAACACATGACAAAACAAAATAAAGTTTGATAGCATAATGATCAAAAAATTATACACATGGAAAAGAGTATGCCAAAAACTAAGGCTTCGTTTGAGATAGTTTTCTTACTGTTTGTTAAAATAATTTTCTAGTATAAAAATTTCTTGATATTTTGGTTAAAACTTAAAACAGCTTTTTTACTTTTTTACTTTTTAGACAACAACCATAATTTCTTTTTTATCATAGTTTTTAGTTTCTTTCAAAAAAAAATTATACTAAAAAACTACTTTCTACAACAACTTTAAAAAGTTACTTTCACTACTGCAATTTTACAAAACAGCAAGAATGTTGTCCCAAGCGAAGCCTGAATCTTCTAAATCAATTTTGGGTTAAAGCTAACAAATACAATTCATGTCCTCAATTAATATCTACAAACACAGTTCAGGATGATATCTCATGAAGCTTAGCTTGGGAAAAACAATGGGTAAAATTTTTAGAAATTTTTTGATGCTTATCGGCTTTATAATCCAAATGAAATGAACATGTTATCCTAAAAATTCAAGGATGACACTCCATAAGAGAAATTTACTAAACCTCGAGACATTGCATCCTTTATATGTCAACCTTTAAATTATGAAAAAATGAATAAAAACATTTGAACAAAAACAATGAATGAAGAAATATTTTCAATTAAAAGAATCAAAATTAGAACATCTTATAAATAACTCTTTCAGAAAAAATATTCGATCAAACATAGTTTGTCGCATATAGAATATGATTCTGTTGGGATACAGAAAGCTGAAATGATCACAAAAGATCACAACTTGATGCAGACTTCAATGAAATATTTGCACATGTTGTTCGTATGGAGAGTATGAGACTGGTTCTAGCTATATACCAACCAAAATGTCATTATGAATCTACCAACTTGTAATAAAATCGACATCCGTAAAAGAAGCATTTCAAAAAGCATTAAAAAGCTTTAATAGAAAAGAGTCCCATATGAGGAAAGAAGACATAAAAGCCAGTACGGTGTTCTTCACCTCCAAGTGAAATAAAGGTGATCCAAACTTATTCAAGACCAAAATGGGCAAAAGCAAGCCATATGACTAACGTGGAATTCAGCATAAATAGATTTGTCAATTTTTTTTTTTATATTTTATGAATGAAAGTATGACAAAAAAGCCCTTGAGAGCAAAATTGCAAATAGTAAAAACAGTATAAAACATACTATCTGGCGCATAATTGTGCAGCTATAACAACATGCAATTATGTGATGTGACTAAGACATGGAGGCAAAGAAGATGTAATGGTAGAATCAATTCTCGTTGTATATTAAAAAAAATTACATTTTGTTAATAACAATAAAATTCACTGAACATACAAGGAAAAATAATGTAATATGAACTCTACTTGAAAAAACCGTTTGGCATTGGCCCACCTTTAGCGGTTCGTTTCTGCTGTTCACTATCATAATGAGCGAAGGCAGCATCTAGAGCCTGTCCAAAAACACAGTCACCTTCGTAAACCCGTATAGCAGCAGAAGCAAAATTTATAATAAAAATAGCAACAATATGATATCAGGGTAGCATGTAAAACTTATCATTATTCATGAGCTTGAACCTAAAAAGGAAAAAAAGTTTTGAATCCGGATATTTTGATAAAAATTTAATCAGAATGAATGCCAAAGTAATTGGGTTTTCTTGAAATGAGTATGATATATGGGTAGTAAATAAATATATATATATATATATA